AAATAATTTTTAAAACTAGAGGTTTATAAAAATGTCTAAATAATTGCAGGTTACAATAGTTATAAAATGTTTGCAGATATTTTATAATTACTTTTTTTACCTTCAGAGACACACAAGATTATTTTCTCAAAGGAGGAGGGCCCCTATCTGAAAAATTTTTTTTAGTACCTACTAGCAATACTGAATCGTTTTCACCCTAAACGGACCAACCTCCTCACCCTCCTTTCCCCCTCCACCCCCTTAAATGAGATGACACACATTTACATTGAATAAAACGAAAAAGAAAAAATTAATAATTATACATACATATTTGTGCCTATTTGTTTAGCCACTTTGAATTTCGTGATTTTGAGACCAGATTCGTGATCAGCGACCCAAAAAACTCTTCATATGTAAGATTCATAGGAATTGAATGTCTTTCGCATCTCTAAGCTCTTTAAAGATTCCTCTAATAAGTGATGGTTTCCCCAGCATTTAAGGGGGCGGAGAAGGAAAGGAGGGTGAGGGGGTTGGTCCGTTTAGGGTAGAAACGATTCAGTATTGCTAGTAGGTACTAAAAAAAATTTTTCACATTTTTTGCTTGACAGATTAGTATAATCTCAAACTAACACGTGCGCTAATTGCTCGTGCTAGCTACTCTGTGCATTGTTGTCAAATTTCATCTTTCTTGATTCATATACTGCTTTTTCCATAATATCGCACATGATTTTAGCAACGAAAAGTATTAAGGACCTATTTGTACAAACTCTAAAGGGTGAATCTTTGACTAATTTTAAGATAAAAAGTTCATATCAACATGAGTCCGCAATGGCTTGGTTCTTGAGATAAAGGCCATCAAAATAATTTTTGTTTGGTTATATTTCTGTTCAATAACATGACAATTTGACAAAATTCGGGAAACTGGGAGCATTGATGATGATAAACTCAAATATTTACTTAATTTTTTGTTTAATGTTAGGGGGCACCACATGTAGTGTTCTACCTGGATTTAAATAACCATAACTTTTTTGTGTCGCACTGTATGTCATTTTTGACTAAACATACCTATTCTCTATTCAATTTTACGTACAAAAGGTAGGTACTCTTAGTATTTGTCGGTGAAAGCAACGGATTTGTAAAAAAATGGGTTTAAAGTTAAACCATCATTGGAATTTTGTAAGTTTAAGAGTTTTTGAAAAACAAGTGAAAAGGACTCATGTGCTAGGTTACACTATCACTTAACAAATTACTATCATTAAATTAGTGAGAATTGCAAAAAAATTAAAATTCGCAAAAACAAGAATATAATCAAAATACCAAACCAAATTTTTTTTTCTGCATCTCAAGAACCAAGGCGTTGCGGATCCTTGTTCATATGAACTTTTTGTCTTAAAATTAGTCAAAGATTTAAACTTTTTACAAGTACTTAATAAACACCCTATATATATAAATTTTACGTTTTCTAGAAATGTGGTTTATTGATTCACAAAAAACTTCTATTACGAGATTTCTTATACCTATACATGCATGTACTTTTTTAGTAACATGGAGGTCAATAATTATGACATTCACTTTTTCGTTATAAAAGCAACATTATTCAATTGTTATTAAAATTACAGTGATTGGCTGGTAAGTATTTGTCCAAATATAAAAACTTATTTTAAAAATTATTATATTCTCAAATGTTGAAATAATATTTTTTATTTCCAGGGTGTTTCTATTTTTATGTATACAGGGTGTCTTGGAACTAGACACAAAAATGTCGAGTACAAATAGATGAGGTCAAAATAATATCAGTTCTTCATACAATTTTTTTTCATACGGACCTTCGTTAACAAGTTACGGGCCCTCAAATGTGAAAATTAAAAGTTATTTTTATTTACAATCTCTAAACTATTACAACTTCAGCATGATGCAAATTTGGTGATATATAACATATGCGTACAACTTGTTTTGATGTTGTAAGTGAAATTATATTATGCCCAGAACGCCAGGGACGGACTATGCCCAATGGTTAAAAACCCAGAAATTAACACTATAAGAAATATTTGTGATTTTATGTCACAGTGCACATAGAACGGCGCCTCTATCATTTTTGTTTTTAATTTGACATAATTACTATGTTAGAACTGTACATATTTTTAAAATTAAGAGCCTAGCAAATCTTACTGTCTGCTAATGTAAGTTTGACAAACAAAATATGACAAAGACACTTTACACATAACACAGAATAGGAAAACAAAACAAGAATACCGACTTTACCAACTTGAACAAAGAGAGTACTATCGTTAGTTACAGTTTCACGTACAACATCAAAAACAAGCTGTACGCATGTGTTATCGATCACTAAATTTGCATCATGCTGAAGTTAATAGTTTAGAGACTAAATAAAAATCACTTTTTAATTTTCATCTTTGTGGGTCCGTAACTTGTTAACGCAGGCCCGTTTGAAAAAAAATTATATGAAGAAATGATATTATTTTGACCTCATCTATTTGTACTCGACTTTTTTTGTATCAAGTACCGTGACATCCTGTGTACCATAAAGCTAAAATATTAAAATTAAAATTAAAATTAAAATTGTGACCATTCCTGGTATAGCATCATTTATTTGAATAATTTAATTTTTTTGATTTATTCATATAATTTTTCTCAGAAGAAACTAAATAAAATTCATCTTTGGAAAATTTTTAAATTGATGTAACCATCTACAAGGCCACCCCTTTGTTTACCTGTGTGTCACCTTAACATGTTTTTATAACTGCCCATATGTTGGTATATAATTCTCAGTCTTTGTTTTCTAGATTTTCATTTTTTATTATTTCATGTAAGAATATATTAATTAGATTTTAAAAATATATGTATTCGTATTAGACAGGTCACTAGTTAGGTTAGGTTACTATACTAAAACACTATTAGGTAAAAAAATATAAACCTATAAAAATATCTTCTTGTTCTATGAAAAATGTAAAAAAAAATTGTTTGTACACTCGATGGTAAAAAGTTGTAATAAAACACTTTGTTCAGTATATGTACATTTATATTAACATATTCATCACAATTTAAATAATTATTTCATAAAGAAAGCAGTCTTTATATATTATTAATTACACAAAGTATTTAAAAAAAATTGACTAGATTCTCTAGAAACCAGTTCGATAGTTATTAAAAACCTTTTTTATAACATTTTCTGTGAACATATACGCACTTTCAATGGAATACATTTTATTTTACACCATTTACTAAAACAGTTATTAGACCATCAATAACTGCAGAGTACTGACATTTTTCAGATACAAATTGTTATTATAAAACCGATATGACCTAACGCACACCAATTGTAATTACATTAAGGTAGGTAGGTATACGTTTTTTATATATAAAAACTTATTTACAAACTTCTATCTTCACTAGGGACTGCAAAGTCCAAAATTTCTTAAATACATGGAATGTTTTATGATAACAACCAGTTTGATGAGTGGATTATTAAAAATAAAAACAAAAATATTTTATCAACATCGAAAATATAATAAAAAAACAATACCTAGTATAGTCTTTCCGATCTCAATTGAAAAACCAAGAGGTTGGCAGTATGTACCAGGTTCGGTCGCTGAGCAGCAACTCGGCATTGAAATATTTGGAAAACTTGTTCCCATATTTATTTAGTCATACCCATATACAGGTCTGGTCGAACTAAATGTGGAGGTGGTAGACATGTATACGCCCAGTTGAAGAATGCGCGCGCGGGCATACGGCGTATAACACAGCCGCACTGGGCGACTGGACAATAAATCTCAGTTGTTGATAAGTGGTTGACAAATTGCCTGGCGGCAATGCGGAATTTGGTGAGATTCAGGTGATTTTAATTTATTATAGGCACCTACTATAAATCATTCATATTACAATTATTGCGAAAAGGAGAAATAAGAGGGATATTTTGTTTACTAATATTATTACAATATGGCATTTTGAAACGGAACAAAACGAAATTTACCGTTAATATAATAAAATTGTTTGAGGACATAAATAATTAAAATATACTCGTATTGTTAGTCAAATGAACAAATAATTTTCTATACATTACTTACAATTTATTATAATTTTTTATCTTTTGCAGAAAACTTTTTTAGGGATGCCCTATGAAACTCATTAAATCTTATTGCTAGGCGTTTTTATACATGTTCAACTTCGGAAAGACTATACTATTTAAATTTGTACCTATATTTTGTTTTTACTCAGTTTATATTAAACTTTCCTTTTCAATTGTATTCTAAACAAAATATTTATGATGTTGCCTTAAATCTAGAATATAGAATGCATTTTTTTTATAAAATAAATAATTTTAATAGCTTTAAGCAAATTTACAGCATGTGCTGCATATAAAAATCGTAGTGCTAAGCTCTTCATTAAGACAGCAATGTCTGGTAGGCATTTCCTTTAATTAAAAATATGTCGTTAAATTCACTTGTTTGCTCATGTTATAAAAATATTGTACATCACGTCTTATTTAAAATACATGACAAGATTTCTGACTAGATTCTGTATTAATTAATCATTTATAGACTAGTTTCTAGATAGTTTTGGATATTAGGCGATTTATTCAAAATTGCAAAAAAATTACTTTCAATGTAAGTTTTTTAATACAGTAGGTCAACAGTGGGATGTAAAATTAAGGAATCCCTTCGAGTAATTTTGTGGAGAATGCTATAATCAATCATATAGTTAACACATACAGTCGCTTCAGGCGTTTTTTTCATTTGAGTGAACAAAACAGCATAATACACAATCTTTCAACATACATTTTTTCTTGCAATCATTTTAATTCTTGGCCAATTTATTTACTTTTTCGTAAAAAAGAAAAAACAAACAAAAATATTTTGTTAAAAGTATTTGAAAGCCTAGAGTATGAATTTACAGATATATTTTTTTTTAAACTAAACTTCTCAATATTCAACTTATATTACATATCACAATGCAAACTATTCAAAAAAATTTCAACCTTTTGTATATCCACTTGTCTACATATACATACACAGAGCCGGACAGGATTAACTTGATCGACTCAGCACTGTCCCATTTTCTGTGGTCGAGGGTCATTTGCATTTACCCCCCATGTCCGTGTACTCCTGGGGGTCTTCATTGGTTGGTGTTTTCACTTTTCTGGGAACCTTCACCGGTGTTTCGTATCCTTGAGTGTTCATTATCAGATTAATATCGTTCTGTGTGATGTTCTCAACTTCGTTGTTGAGAATCTTGTCAGTGGCTCCGCATTTTTCATACGATTGTGCCCTAGACAGGTAATTCAAAGGGCTTATGTCGTCTGGGTGGTCGTCAGATAAGTTTTCTGAAAATAGAATACAGGGTCATTTATTAAAACAAACTATACAATGTTTTAAATGTAAGGTCAGTTTACCATATAAAAGAACCACCCATAAAATGTCTCTGTTCTATTTTTTCTTTGTACTTTAATTTCCAGTGTTATGCCTGTGATTTATTGAAAAATATCACAGAGCCATTCGTCAAGTGTGTCTTTGACATTAGTATGTTAAAGTTAGTTTTGTTAATGATTTGGTTAATACGTAAGAACTTCTTGGATATGACTGTGACGCAAAATTGTAACAATGGCAACTTTTACTCCTGAAGAATATTGTAACATCATTTACTTTGGAAAATGTAGGTGCGTGTGTACGGAAATATGGCTGTATATTTATTGGGAGATATGTACTACACTGAGAAGTGATTTTACAAACTATTAATCTAGATTTTGCACGTCCAAGAGAATTTTGTGAATGACTATTGTAGTGTACAAGGTAATACATTTTTCGTTAAAGGAATTGTCATGTTTTGGTTTAAGAAACGCCATCATTTTCCGAAAAATTCAAACATAATATAAACATAAATCTTTGGTAACAGCTGTACAATAACATTAATAGGTCTATATTCAAATAAACCCCTTGTATATATTAGAAACAATATCGAAAGGAAAAATGTTCATATTTAACTAATATTTTACCTTCCTTCTCTTCTATATTCCCGAAATATTCTCTGTTTATTATTGCGTTATTGGATAGGTCTGTGTACTCCATTTTGTCTTCTAGTAATTTCTCCCAACAATTTGCTAATTCCTGGAAAGTGGGCCTCTGCTCGGGATCTATATGCCAACAGCTCCTCATTACCTTGTATCTGAGAAAAGATTATCATACAATATTTGTTTAAAAACCTATGAAATACATTTAAATTTCTGATTGCCTCTTGAGCGTGGAAGAGATTTATAGAAGTTTTGTAGTAATAACCAATGTCAGTTAAGCACGGGATTTGTAAGTGCGAAAATCTTTTGGAAATGTGTCCTTTTATACTTACAAGCCTGGAGAGCAGCTGTCAGGTCTCTGCATCCTGTATCCTTGCTTTAGGAGGTGAAAGAGGTTTTGAACGGCTATACCAGGATATGGAGTGGCACCTAAAGTCACCAGCTCCCATATTAAAATTCCGAAACTCCACACGTCAGATTTGGTTGTGTAGACGTGGTCTGCTAGAGATTCTGGAGCCATCCATTTTACAGGAACTGGTTGTAAAAACGAAATGTCAGTTTTTATATTAAGGAGAGTTGTTTATTATTTTTAGAAAAAAAAAATCAATAAAAGATAAAAAGATTTGTAACATAGAAGAAATCTAAGGAAACTGGCTGAAAACTACCAAATATATCGTGTATAGAAAACAAAATAAAACAAAATATAAGACGGCATGAATAGTGGTCGAATAATCTGCAAATATTGAATACATATGTAGTCCAGTCACTGAAGGTGAACATAGGGGAAAAGCTCCCAATTTTTTCGGATAGCATGGATTTTCCTGAAAATTTGCATTCAAGCTCATCTGACCCCCCACTTCAAAAGTTATATTGTCTAAATATGTGCTCTTTTCTATTTGGGGGTGAAAACTACCCTTGTACCAAAAAATGCGAAAATCGCAGTTTTACGTATGTTAAAGATTTAATTAATGTTCAAATATTATTGGGTAAAGTTTCTTTCATGTTTTTTAATATAATTTATGAAATTTAATTAGTTTTCAACCCTTAAAAATCCTTAAAAACTACCCTTCCATGCATGGCCAAAAAATAGAAAAAAGTTTTTAACAGTTTAAAATATTCTTTTGGTGCATTCACAATGTATTGCATTTCTTTTGTTATTCATTAGAAAGCTTACGACTCATTACAAAGTTGCAACCCTTAAAAACCATCCCTTATAATAAAATAAACTATTATTGAAAGCTTGAGATGTTTTAATGGTATGCATATGTTGAATTATAAACTTTTTATTGGTTTTCAAATGATCTATGATATATTGCAACTTTTCAGCCACCCAAAAAACCCTTATGGAAGACCTACCCCTCATAAAAAACCCTACCCCTTATAGAAAAATTTCCTAAAAATTATATGTGAGTATGATGATATAATTATTTTTTTTTAATTTTATTGAATTTATTCTTAATATTTTTTTATTAAATTAATATCAAATAAAAAAAAATATATATACATTACAAATGGATGTAATGTACAAAATGTTTTTAAAATGGTCTGTTATTTTTTACATGTAATAAAATATTTAATTTTCATCACTATCTTAAGCTTCGCCTTGGCCCAAAATTGGAGGACAATTTTTACAATTATCGCCAGAACGATCCTTTTTTGCAACTGCAAAATATCATCCTAAGTAGTTCACCTGATGCAGGCTTTTTGCAAATTTATTGGTTGCAATGTATATTATTAAAATACTCAAATCAGTTCACAAGTGCTCCAAAATACACAAAGATGATGGTAATTTACTCGCTCCGAAAATTTTACCGAAAAAATGCGATTCATTGTTTTACCATCAATTTTTTAATTTTAAAGTTATAAATTTACTCAAAAAACCATTTTGTAGGGAATTTAAAGCACTTTCAGTTCTGCGATTTGCAGCTTTTTTGAGCCCTTCGTTTTTTAGATATGTAAGCTATAAGGGCTCAGCAAAGGCAATCTTGAAGCTTAGTTTTGAGCTTCTAACGGTCATAACTCAGTCAAATTTTGTCCTACAAAAATTTAAAAAAAGCAAATTGTCCAGGAAGAAAAAACCTACAATTTCTTATTCTATCATTTTTTTTATATCTGTTAGTTTTTGAAATATTTTGAAACGAGGCGAATTTTTAAAAAAATTGAAAAATTGTATTCAAAAGTAAATGAAATATGTTTTTAAATTTAGGCTTCTAAAATCGTTCAAATTCCCAAAATCTACTGTTAATACATAAATAAAGTACATTGCAGAAGGAATACGTTTAATTTATTTTTTTCCGTCAAGTCATTAATTTTAATACCGATTTTATTTTCTCGAAAATCAAGACAATCATTTTATTTTGATTGTAACTTCATTAGTGTTCATGCTAACGACTTNTTTTAAACAAAACAGCTGAGTCCAGCGGAGTCCAGTGAGGTGGAAGAACAAAATACTTATAAATTTGTTATATTAGATAAAATTAAAACGTCCAAAACAATAGAGACAATTTTTACTATTTAAATATATCCTCAATTGAAATATGATTTTCTCTTATGAGAGTTTTTATTGTTTTTTTGAATTTATATATACTACTAATATTTTTTACATCAACTTGCAATTTATTACACAATTTCGGTCCATAAAAAAATACAAAATGTTGGGTATGAGATTTACCATAAAATGGTACTTGAACAGACTGTTCAGTACGCAATCTAGTGCAATAATTGTGACTCATAGGAGCAATATGAGACTTATGAGCCCATAATATGGAATGATATGCAAATAATTTTCTTATATTGAATATATTTAATTCCTTATACAGTAGTTCTGTAGAATATCTAAAATCTTTTTTGAAAATAATTTTTAGTAACGTATTTTGAACGACTTGCAAATTTAGTAACTTGTTGTCATACAGACCACCCCATATCAAAATACAATACCCAGTAATGACTGGGCCAGAGCATCATAAACTACATGCAATAATTTAGCATTAAGAACATCTCTAATTTGGTAGAATGCATGTATTAAACTTCTAAGTCTTTTTGTAAGATATTGCACATGAAAATCCCAACGTAGATGCTGATCAACTACCACTCCTAAATATTTGATTTTATTTTCTTTTTCTAAACATTCACATTTACTACTGTTTACATCATTGCAATTATTTTTATGGATTTTTTTAAGAGAAAATTCCGGCTGATCCGCCTCAGTAATAGTAAAAGTTAAAAATTTTGATTTCTTTACGTTAAGACTAAGAAGGTTCTCGTTCAACCAATACCGGAGATATTTCATAGAATGCTCCGCCCTGTGCAACAATGAGGGCCAGGAGTCATCAACAAAAATTATGGCTGTATCATCAGCGTAAGAAGTGATATGGCCGTCTATGCTATCCAAAAATGCGAGGTTATTTATATATATTAAAAATAAAACAGGGCCCAATATTGTACCCTGAGGAATACCCCTATTAACCAAAAGTGAAACGCTTAATGTTTTATTTATTTTTACTTTTTATTTTCTATCAGACAGGTAACTCCTAAATAATTCAAGTGCAACACCCCTTACATTCAAATCAGACAGTTTTTCGAAAAGTAACAAGTGATCCACGGTGTCAAATGCCTTAGCCAGGTTCAGAAATATACCAAGACATTTTTTATTTTTATCTAAGGAATGAACTATATTGTTAATGAACTCCAGGACATCATCTTCAGTACTAAGTTTATTTCTGAAACCGTATATTGACTGTTTGATAAAATTTTAAATTTTTCTAGATACCCAATAAAACGAAATTTTAAAGATTTTTCAAATATTTTGGCAATGTTATTAATTACAGATATAGGTCTATAATTTGTAACAAGTTCTTTAGATCCAGCCTTATAAATTGGAGTAGTTATAGATTCTTTCCAGAGAGAGGGTATCTGCCCATGTAAAAAACAGAGATTGATCAGATGAGCTAGTGGCTTAAGCAAAAATTTGTGAATAATTTTTAAAGTAATAACTGATATGCCATCAGGGCCTGACGCTGTGTTATTTTTTAAACTACCAACATAGGATATAATTTCCGTTTCGGTCACAGGAAATAGGAAAAAACTGGGATTAGAAAACCGTTTATTAAGTTCTGGCAGAGGATTAGAACTGTTATCAATTTCTGCTACCATTTTGTTACCAATATTAATGAAAAATTCATTAAAAAAATTTGCTTTATCTTTGTCAGTTTATTGTCCTTACCGATAATATTAAAACAGTCGTCTTTTTTATTTAGACAATTTGTAGCTTCCTTAATTATTTCCCATGTTTTTTTATAGTTATTATGAGCCTGGTTTAATTGATTTTTATAGTATTCATTTTCTGAGTTTTTTAAAAGTTTAGTTAGCGTTTTTCTGAAATGTTTATACTCAGCTAAAAGTTCCGGCGAATATTATAAATATTATTAAAATACTTACTCAAATTAGTTCACAAGTGCTCCAAAATACACAAAGATGATAGTAATTTACCCGCTCCGAAAATTTTACCGAAAAAATGCGATTAATTTTTTTACCATCACTTGTAATTTTAAAGTTATAAATTTACTCAAACAACCATTTTGTAGGGAATTTAAAGCACTTTAAGTTCTGCGATTTGCAGTCTTTTTGAGCCCTTCGTTTTTTAGATTTGTAAGCTATAAGGGCTCAGGAAAGGCAGTCTTGAAGCTTAGTTTTGAGCTTCTAACGGTCATAACTCAGTCAAATTTTGTCCTACAAAAATTAAAAAAGCAAATTGTTCAGTAAGAAAAAATCTACAATTTCTTATTCTACCATTTTTTTATAACGTTGTTAGTTTTTGAAATATTTTGAAAAAAGGCGAATTTTTTAAAAAATTGAAAAATTGTATTCAAAAGTAAATGAAATATATGTTTTTAAATTTAAGCTTCTAAAATCGTTCAAATTCCCAGAATCTACTGTTAATACATAAATAAAGTAAATTGCAGAAGGAATACGTTTAATTTATTTTTTTCCGTCAAGTCATTAATTTTAATACCGATTTTATTTTCTCGAAAATCAAGACAATCATTTTATTTTGATTGTAACTTCATTAGTGTTCATGGTAACGACTTTTTACCACTCAATTTAAAGGTTTTTTCAAGAACTTTAATAAGTGTTACATAAGTTTTCCTCGAAATACCTTTCATTTTTCCGCTACAGGACGTTGAACGTTTCGATTATAGCTATCTTCGAAACTGACTTCAACTTCTGGGTGTCATAACTCGGGTTCAATACCACCTACAAAAATAAAAAAAGCAATCTCTGCTTTTTAATGACCTTCATTTTTGCTTATGATCATTTTTTTGGTAAAACTTTTTGAGATATTCGCGAAAAATGGCTCAAAAATATGCATTTTTTGGGCTAAAAACGAACATGTTTAGGCGCAAATAACTCAAAAAGTATTGACTGTACAAATAATTCTTATAGAACATTTTTTGCTTAGAATTCGTCCCTCTATCGAATCGTGAGGTTATTTTTAATAAAAAATTCCCACCCTCCAGAACCTACCCTACCCTTTTACCCTAGGGGTGGCATCCACCCCTAGGGTAAAAGCACACATCGGCATTATATAACTTTTGTTTCTTGGGCTATTCCCTAGCCACAGTTCAAATTTCACGTCAATCCATTCCATCCGAAAAAATTGGTAGCCAAAATGCTTCAGTGACTGGACTAATGACAGATATGACAGATGTTTGGCGAGTGACTGCATCATCTGGAGTAGATGAACTTTGAATCATGGAATCATAAGTATTTGAATAAATAAAATCAAGTACCTAACCGTATTCGAAAAAAAATTAGTTTGATGTGAATAACAGTTTTAAAGCAAGTCAAACCAAATACACTTTGATCCTCTTACGAACTTCAAGAATCAATATCAAATCATTTTAGCTGGGGAGATTTTATTTGAAATGGTATTTTATGTATTAGCAATTTTATAAAATTTAAAATTTTACGACGTGCTTCACGGTATAGCTCTTATCGAATATTCATAAAATACGATCGGAATATTTTTATGTCACCACTCGGCTACGAAACTGTTAACTATAGTACAGGATGATAATGAAGTACGCCGACAAATTTTTAGGAGCGAATTTTTGAGTGATTTTAAGCCCAAAAAGTTACCTAGACATGGGACCACAAGTCGATAGTTTTCAAAATACATTGAAATCATCAGAAATTCGATGTCAGTTATTTTGAAAATTCGATCAATACTTGCATCCTCCCGAGACTATATCTTTCATGTTATATGAAAAATTAACCATTTCCGATTTATTATATTTTGTAATTTTCAGTATAGCTAAATGTAAAGTTAATTCACAGGATTTGTTTTACTAGAAACACAATTTTGCAACCTAGTCGTGACAAGTTAAGTCAAGTCAAAATTGAAAATATCAGTGGCGAAATTTATGGCTCAGAGAAAATATTGCACCTATTATTTTCTCAGTCTTTTTTTTATGATTTCATTGCCTTTAAAATCGCACAGGGAAAAAATAATGAGATCTTTTATTTTTTTTCAAATAGCGTGTTTTATTATGCTAGAGAAATTTTTGGTGACATTGATGAGAGTTAAAAAAGTAAAAGATCACAGAGGTTCGTTTATTGAATAAAATGGTTTCTTTTTTTTTTTTTTTCATGGAAGCCCTATAAGGCGTTATAAATATAAATACGCGAATACGTACCAATACAGTTTTAAAATAATTAGAGACATCGAATTTCTGGGGATTTTAGAAGTAGCAGTTCCTGATATCGCCGCCACCGGTTCACACATATTTTTTTAATTAAGTTTCACCATGCTGCATCAAACGACTTCGAATATATTTTAGAAAAGATGAACTTTCAACACCAGGTCTCGTAAACTATACGAGTACCTATACAGGGTGTTCCGCATAAAAACCGACACAGGGCAGGTGAAGGTAGGGGTGTCTAAAATATTGTAAGTTGTACCCCTGAGGAGTTATTAGCCCTCAAAGTGGGGCCCTAAATTTCGAAAATAAATTAATATCTCTGCAACACTTTACCATAGAAGAACCAAATGTGGTAGATGATTTAGGTTTATTACTGGTCTTCTTTGACTATGATTTAAAGTTAATTGAAGCACTACAAGGTGTTCATTGGGCATGACTCACCCCTAAAATTGTACCGAATTTTTTTTCATTGACCGAATTAAAAAATAGTAATATTAATTCACATGAGAATTTATTTTTTTAACTCTTTTTAAATTTTAAAACAATAAGGTGTTCAAGAAAACCGTATTAACTGAAGATTTTAACAGTGGTCATTAGAAAATAATCAAAAAGTCATAACTTAAGTTATAATTAGTTTTCTAAAATTCACTTTAATACTTGTGTACGCCGCCACTGTAATGTATTACAAATACATGAATTGTAGACAACCTACAGTGCATGTGAAGGGTGATAGTGCCGGTAAACGGTGATGAAGCTAAGGGCGTCAGTTCAGAGAATTTAAGGTAGTAGTTCTCTGTCAGTTGCATTTGGAGACAGTACATCTACCTGAAGTTGAATGCTTTTCATAGCTGGAAGCCATCAACAGACTATTTATTTTTGTGTATTTCATTTATCAGTATTGATTCCTGCTAGGTTCCTTGTTAAGTACCTACCTATAGTAGGATCATATTCGATGCAAAGTAATAAATCATTGCCTGACAAGGGAACCAATGCAGTACGCTTTTAAGGGTTTTAGAAATTGAATAATTTCTTTATACATTATGAAGGGACGAAGGGATCAGTTCACGCCTGGCACCCTCGTTCCTACAAAAATTCCTTTATTCTCATAATCTATTTATTTTAAATGTAATTTATTATAAATCCAATTTGTTTTTTAAATTCCACATATGTACTACATTTTACCTCTGTACGCGCCACTGTTGTTTACTTGTTTTTTGGAGGCGCTCTCTAATTGACGAACAAGCTCGCCAGGTTAGTATTTGACGTATAACCGACCACTTCGTACACTCGATGCACCTGGCCGACTACAGCTAGTACCAGAACACAGAGCGTATGCAGCGGTATTTCAGATTTTACATTCAATTTCATTTTAAATTTGAATAGTTCATCTTACGCCTCCTAATAATGATGACACGATTTTTCTTTGATAAAAGACCGACAACTTTTTGCTCTATTTTGCATCGAATACGATCCTACTATAGGTACTGTTTGTGTGGCGAACACTCAACAAAAGTAACTCGCGGTGGATGGTGTGGAACTGTGCATGCGCTGCGACTAAAGCGCGCCGTTATTTGAGGTTACACTAACTTCTCCAGCGGCGGGGTACGAAAATTACTAAGAAAAGGTTAAAAAACTAATTGTTGAAATACGGAGGTTCCAGTATAAATTTATAAGTGAAAATGCTGTGCAAAGATTTATTATAACTTCACTAGATGTTTCCGAAACAGTCCGGCAGGAAATAAGGATTAGAAGTTACAGGTCAACGAAATTCGAGTAGGCTTAAATTTCGATGGTGTAGGGGTTGCGAGTAAAATTATAGCCTTACCTCGTCCCTTGCTCCTCTTGAAATAAGCGTTATCCTCGTACACATCTCTCGTCAGGCCGAAATCCGATATTTTGCATATTTTATCGGCAGCTAGCAACACATTGCGAGCAGCCAGATCTCTATGCACCAGCTAGAAAACAACATAATCGATTACAACAACCAAAGTAAATCCCGATATTTGCAAAATGTGCATTTCCTAAATCCCTTTTTTTTTCAGTTATTTCCTAGATTTCATATAATAATACATCGGATATGAAAATGACCTAGGTTTGCCTATATTCCATTTTCTTTCCGAGATAAAGGAGACAATTAATATAGAATAATCACAGACCTCGGAAACAAAACGAATCCGCCTTCAAAATTTTGAAATTACCGTTTGCCTGTCGTTTGTTTTTCGTGATACAAGAGTCAGATGTTTCAATGTAATCTACTTCAAATAACAAATCTTTTGTTACCTACCTTGATATCACTTAGATAAGCCATGCCATTGCATATCTGCCATGCAAAAGAGAGTATTTCTTTAGATGTGACTTTGCCCAAGTTGGGTTCGTCGTAGTTGTCCATATCGTTGTCATCCACAAACGACGAGGACTTCAAAATCTCTGACCTTAAGTGTCTGCTGCGTCTCAAGTAGTTCCTATAAAAATAAACAAAATAAAAATAAACAAACACTTGAAGTCAAAGCGTTTGTAAAATATATTTTTATAAATTACCTTAAGGAACCGTACTCAGCGTATTCTATGATGAGATATACAGGACCTCCCGGTGCTGTACATACCCCAAGGAGGCGGATAACGTTGGGATGTGAAACTTCTTTGAGGAGCTGGTACTCCGATAACAGATCATTGAGTTCAGACTCTCTGGCGTCGTCTTTCAGTGTCTTTACGGCCACTGTTGTATAACCTGTCAAAAAGACATTTCAATTAAGTATATTTTGTACCTAGTAGTTTATAGTCTCGGGCAAATGTGAATATTAAGAGAGTCTGGTAATAAAGATTTTACTAGAACTCTTTATTTATTTATAATTCTATGCACAGATGACGATGTCCCAAAATTAATTTTTCCTAGTGGAAAAGTTTTTTTCTTTATATTTCTTGTGCCAAAAGTTTATCAAGGGAATTCTTATTTGTAATGAAAATACTCAGCAATAACAACAGTCTGAATCCTCTCCTGAAACTAGTTAAATACAAACGTTTTTCCATTAAAATCTTCACCTTACTGGTCTGTGGGAGAACGTAAACAAAAAATAAAAACAAAAGAACCAATACTCCGTTGGAGAACTGCGAAATAAATCTGGCTTGTCGGGTTTTCAAGAGTTTTCAGATTGTTTATTCAAGGCCGCCATGATCAATTTAGTTCTTTCAGCTGAGTTTTCTCGCGTAATTGATTCAGTTTGGTTTGATTATTTTTTTTTTAAGTTCCGAGAGTTAAATTGGATCTTCAAGAATGTTTATTCGATTTGGGCGAATAAAAAAAATGTGGAGCTGTCCTAAATATATGTCTTAGGAAGTTGTGAAGTAAATTCCGATTAAACGTTATTTCATTTCTGAAATTAAAGAAATGATATCTGGGCTCTCCTGAATGAATATTTCCTATGTTTGTTATACGAGAATAATTCAAATTTTACGATAATTTATTTTTTGTCAATACAAATGTATGAGTAACTTAATAAAAGGAGTAAATCACATCACATATAATCGTGCAACTAAATTTGAAACAATAAACGTCATATTTAATATAAATAACAGATTTTTTTAATTATATCTTTTTGTTATTAGCTTTTTCTTTATTTTAGCAATAGTCAAAGGCTAATACCAATTAATTTCAAAAATTTCCTTTAAATCCTCTTTAAGGGAAGTCACATACAGGGTAGTCTCGAGCTAATGGATAGATTGCCGGAGCAGAAATATTGCGATTTAGCTGAACTTACTTACTTAATCCAAAAGTTGATAGTTAAGAAGATACAGGGTATTAAATGTAAAATATTATTTTAGTATATTTTCATTTATTTCTTAATAAATGCAAAATATCCACACAAAATTTTGGGGTTTGAGGTTCTTTGTGTAGAGAAATTGTTTGTTCACATTTTGGTTATAGTTCATAGAGGGCGCTAGCTGCCGTAAATTTAATGTCTTGAAAACGATATAACTTTTTTGTACTTTAAGATATCTCATTTTTGTTATCAAATTCTTATTTTTCAATCAACTTTTTTTTACCCAAAAGGGGCATACTTTATGAAAGTAGTTGTCCCGCACCGTTTCGAAGATATTTGGTTTTGAAACTTCCAATGCTAATATTTTAAATAATTAAAATAATTTAGAAATGTTAAAAATGAGGGTTTATTTAGAATTAAAAATTGTACTGAACAGTACATATACAGTAAATATTAGTAAAAAACCTCTAACTTCAATACATTTATCAACGCGTTTATTTAAAAGATTGTCTTATTTTAAAATATAAATCCTATCTCACATTTTGTGTACCTACATCATAGACCTTATAAACTACTGGACTCGCCCAACTGTCATTTTGCCTATATAAATGGTAATCGCTTAGATGTGTGCGAGAGAGATGGAGCTAGTAAGGGCTTAAGCTTCGTTCACAGAATTTCGACTGCAGCGCACTACATTTAATTCAACCAATCAGCTAGCTATACTCGATTCCTTACCCCTTTTTTCTGTTGGGGCGTATTCAAAGACTTTATAAAAATAATATAGAGACCAAAAGACAAGAAAAATTCATTTTTTTCCAGTAGTGTAGGTATGTAAAAGTGTTTATTATTATTACTGGCCTAATGTAACAGTACAATATTTGAATTGCTTTAGTTATAATATTCCAAATGGTTTTTATAATGCCTTATTTATGTAGTTCTCCATTTATTTTCCTCATATCGTAAACTCGATCGGTTAAAATTACTGCAAGCTCTTCTGACGTAGTTGTTTCAAATATTTCATATTTTCTTCCTTTGCAGATCTGTATAAATTGAAACTATGTCGATGCTTTCTTCGTTCAACATATTATTTGAATTTTTGCTAAGCAAACTTTTTCGTTATATTCGGTTTGATGTTAAAAAATTATTTGAAAAGTAAACACATTTAAAAGTGGCAAAATTTGGACGTTAAAATGACATTTTATTTTGAGGAAGGGGGAAATAGTGTAATCTAATATGTTATCATTGGAGACAACTCTGCTTGGTCATTATTTTAAGAAAGATGCAAAGAGTATAAACATGTTAAACATCATAACTTCTTTCCTACCTATGAAATTAAATTTTTTCTCCAGTTAAACGTGTCTTTATGCAATTTATCTCAGAACACGATTGCACCGTTTTTAGTTTTTACGAATCTTTCACATACACTAACTAAATCACACAAAAATTCAAGAAATCAATCAATTATGTCAATACATGACATTGACTTCAAAGTTTGTTTATGGCATTTTGTAACGGTATACCCGTGTACCATCATTTGTTTTACCGGTATTTGCCTCGACTAGCTTCATCTGCCTGCACACATCAGCGCGATTGACCTCTCTTTCTAGGGCCAGTCCATAGTTTACTATGTCTATGACCTACATACAATTTAAATTGTACGCCAACATGTAATTTGAATTATTTACCTACGTATATGGAAAGTAGCATACAAATGACATCAATAAGACAAGTGGAAAACGTCAATTATTTCATTTTCGTTCAAATATAACTTAAGAAACCGCTAAATTAATAATAGTTACTTAATTGTAATTTAATGCAACATCATTGGAAGTTTCAATGCCAAATATCTCGAAAACTGTGCGAGATAGCTATTTTCATAAAGTATGCCTTTTTTGTGCACAAAAAGTTGGAAAATAAGAATTTGAAACCAAAGATGAGCTACCTTAAAATATAAAAAAGTTATGTCTTTTTTATGACATTCAATCTACTGCAGCTAGCGCCCTCTATGAACTTTAACCAAAATGTGAACAGATTTCAATTCCTCTACCCAAAGAACTCCAAACCTCAAAATTTTGTGAGGATATTTGAATTTGTTAAAGAATAAATGAAAAAAAAACTAAAATAATATTTTTATTTAACACCCTGTATCTCTTTAACTATCATCTTTTGAACTAATATAAGTTCTATTAAATCGCAATATTTTTGCTTCGGGAATCTACCCATCAATTTTGGCCTATTACCTCGGGACGACCCTGTAGATACAAGGTGTTCCAGAAAGCTTGGGACATCGAAGTCTTCTGGGTCCATATTAAAATAATTTAGACCAAGTTACGTCCTAGATTGTAAACCATAATTTATTAAATGTAACATATTTCCAAATGTGTAATAAAATAACATCAGAGTATCCTCTTTGGATTGGTTATCGCTTGAAAATTATATCTTTTGAGGTTGTTTCTTCACATTTCTGAATAAAAATAAGTCAAATTGGGCCAAATCAGGACTTCAAGTCGATGGTCCAGCTGAGAGAAGTTACAGTCGCTGAGGATGGGCTGGACTTTGGCTTTTATTAACCCATTCATTGTTGCGGAGAAGGAAGACGTATTTGTGATGTTACTGTAGGTAGGTTATTGTAATGCCCTTCGACATATATTCCTCGGTTGATGATTGGGTGCCAATCTCTTTTGCGAAAAACTTGGAGTGTAATTTTTGTACCAGGTTCCCAGTTTATCCAAAAATTTAAAAAGATTTTGTTCGGACATCAATTATTTTGGGACCTTTGCTAAAATTTTACGCATGCCTTGTTTATTACATATGTAGAATTGTCGCAACGTTTACTTCGGATATGATCTTCAACAATCATTATTCACGACCTCACTAAAATTGTCCCGATATCTCACTTTAAAATATGATGGGTCTTTGTTACATGTACATGCAACCCAGTTATTTATTCTTAAATGCTTTTAGGATCATTCGGTACATTTGTTAAAAATTTGACGAGGTTGAGATATGCCAGTTTCAAGAAACTAATATTTGGATGTAAAACGCTTCATAAAATACAAAATAATGAAGTAATTGATATCAAATTTCATACGGAAGTAGAAAAAGATTCACAATAATCAACGCTATCAACGTACCTACAACCAATTATTTCTATTGTGGCTGGGGTGATGCCTTTTTAGTACTTCTCGTAGCTCTGTAACATCACTTTGGGCAGAGACCAACACGAAATTCAACCACCATGAGATGATTAAATAAAGTATATATTTAAAGAGATTGTTTTTTTCAAGTGGTCTATTTTTTAAAATGGAATTAACGATTTATTAATATTAATAATTGGAATTAGTCTAACAATAAAATAAAATACGGCAAATAAATAGCTCCCGTTACTATATGACTGTCTAGTGTGATAGATAAATACAATACAGACCTCCCTCGTCCTTATACCAACCTGTTTGTCCCGAGATACTCAACGCCTTGGCCCGCAGCACCCTCCCGAACTCTCCCTCGCCGAGCGTCTGCTCTATGACGAGTTGTGACCTGGGGAACTCCCACTTGGGGTCGGGCTGCAAACAACACCCCAATTAGAGACACCTTGAAACCAACATTCGATACTGATAACATCGTTAGCGGAATTAGGCGGCTGGCAAGTGACGGTAATCCTACCCTAATGGCCGAATTTAATCGGGGTGTACCTTGGAACGAGTGCTCGGTTTTATATGCTTACTTTGTGTGAATCTCCCGCGGGATTCCGCGATTTGGGGCGATTTATTCGTGTCACTGTGTCGGTACGATCGGGGGTTTCATGATACACGACAATTGTCGAAAAATCTGAAAAATTGTTACAAAATGGCGAACAAATCCAAATTTGATCCGCTTCCGTTAATAGTCCGTCTAGTTTCTTTAAGTGATATTTTATTTAAAATGTAAGATGGTCGATCCAGGCTTTAATTGCTACGTCAGTCAAATTGGCAGAGAGCAACCTGCTAATTCGCAGGTACTACAAAAGGAAGACCTGTTCCGACACTAGACGAAACAAATTTTAAACTGAGGATATTGCAGGAAACATATTCTCTGCAGACTAATGTCCAGCTACATTTGTTGTAGTTAAAGACACTAATAATGGTTGGATCATTCATCGCTCATCATACTGATGAGAACTAATAAGTTCGAAACTGGTATATGTCTAGTAGGTTCGGCTGACAAAAGTTCCCAGCTGATTACAAGATATTGAGGGTATACTTCATTGCTGGTCGGGGCATTAGTCCGCAGAGTAGTTGTTTCCATATTTCCGAGGATTTTTGGCGTAGACTGATAAAACTTGCACTACTGATTTATTTAAATTATTACTTTAAATAACTTAAAATAAATGGTTAGAGATATTTAAAATCATGATTTTTCTTGCTTGGTGTATTAAACGTATTAAGTTACAAGGGCGTCGCCAAGGGGGAACAGTGGGGGCAGTTAACCCCCCTCGAGATTAAAAAAAATATACGAGCATTTCATTAAGCTAAGAAAATATTAGATTGGAAATTTTTAATAAAATATTTGATTTACTTAAACTTTAATTTTGATAATTGAAACACTACTTTATTTAAAAAAAATAATAATTTAATAATAAATTAGTATAAATATTTGTTGACGAAAGAAATAGAAATGTAAAATTTTATATTAAAAAGTAATACATTTCCATATTTTAAAAATTTAACTCTGGAATTTTAAACTAAAAAAATAAGAGTAAAAACCTGGCTGAGAAATACTATGGTACAAAATCATCTTAATGGCCTAGCAATGATGAGTATACACAGAAAGCTTATTTCTGACAACCATGAAGATTTTATTAATAAATAAAAGTGATTGACACATTTTTAAAAAATCCGAGATTATGTTTTAGGTACCTAATTTTCGTTGAATTTCTTTATTTTTTTTAGTTATTTATATAATTTTTATGTTTTTTTTTGTATTAAAAATGTTTTACTAAAAATATTTCTAAAAAAAATTAATTCACTGTACGTATTTCTACCTATAATTTATATTTCTCCCATCCTCTCTCTTATCTTGATCCCCCTTTAACCCATGGTGACGCCCTTGTTAAGCCACAACCAATTCTATTATTATAAACACTGACTATACAATCTGACTTGGTACATTTTATCGAAAATGTATATTTAAAATGATAATATTAAGTCTGTAAGTTTAACTTCTTGACCAAGAAGAATTCTAATTCACCTCATTATACATTAAGTTTTATTGTTCGAAATAGTGACTCAAGCCATCTTTAAGCCGTGCAAATTATTAGGAACTTTATGATATGATATCTCGAACTATTGAATTTTCAAAATTAATTGTTTTCCAAAGTTCGTACGAACGGAAAACTTGTTTAAGCTGTCTGCCTGGGAAAAGTTCTAGTTAAAGTCTTTATTGGCGCCATTTAGAGGCTCTATCAACCAGCATTTACAGATCTCTTAAATCTGTTTCCTTTACGGTACTATCGGATTGGAAAGTTTTGTGTGAACCACCCTGTATAGCATAAATTTAGATGCGCATCATTAAAAATATGTCCCAATTTCCGTGTTCATTTTCTCGGTTAGGCAATTTTGCTTTCTAATTGTTCTTAATTTCCACGTTAAGATAGAACTTTTTAATAAAATTTCAGTTTTCAACATATACAGGGTGAAAGAGGGAATAAGTTTATTTCCTCAAAAATTTCAAACAGCACAGGGTGCGCCAGTTATAATAGCGAATATTTACTCGAGTCAAAATCTAGTTCCATACGTTCCATCCAATTTGCTTTTTGATTCACAGTATTATCTTTGTTAATAGCTGAAATACACAGTGAAATTAATTTATTTTTACTATTTTTATTTCAAAAATTAAAAAATAAGATATAATATAATGGTACCTAATATACAGGGTGTTTGGAAAAGTTGGTACAAAATTTAAGGGGGTTAAAGTAAAGCCAAAAATAAAAAAAGTTTCTATAAACATTGGTCCTCCGGAGCACCGTTACTGAGATATGGCCCTCCAAAGGGGTCTTATCATTTGGATATTTTCTAAAATAACTTTCTGATTAAGATAACGGAATGAAAATTGTAAGTAATAAGTATACCATAAGGGTCTTTAACTACCATAAGTTTCATCAAAATCGGTTATAAATAAGGATAGTTTTGTAACTACTCTTAATAGAAATTTTTAGAATTTTTTTTATTCCTTTGAATTATCAATCAAATAATATTGTTTTTTAATGAATTGGGATTTTTTTGAAGAAAAAATGTGTCTACCTTTTTAATCCCGTTTTGATGATTCGAATTGGCCGCCTCGATCATGCGATTTAACGCCGTTGGACTTTTTTCGTTGAGGTTTTTTGAGGTCTAAGGTTTGTGCCACACACAACAAGCCTACGCCTTGAAGGAGTAAATTGAACGCTGTATCAACGAAACCCCGCATTTATACAAAATGGTCATTTCGACAAAAGAGTGCGTATGTGTCAACAAAGCTCTAGCGACCATTTACCCGATATGCTATTGCTATTGCAATTTTTAATTAGAAACCTGTGTTTTCTATCCAAATTACTTCTTGGGTGAATTTTGGGACAGCCTTTGTAAATGAGATGGAAATACTTTTATGTTTTATACATTACTTCCTGCGGAAAATTTAAGCAGTTCTCAATATTCCAACTCAATTTTTTTCAGTCTACCTGAAGCCTATTTATATAAGACCAAATTTTCTAATAATTGGATTTGATTTGGTATTCATTTTACATATTACTTATATTTTACATGATAGCAAATTATTATTTTTGCTATGATACTGAAGATTGAACACGATTAGAGATTTCAATTAGTCTTTATTAAGAATCATTCTACGTACGAAACTTGATCCAAAATGTTTACAACTAGGCGCAAAAGATTATAATAGTATAAGCAAATATCTGTGCTGAAAAGTTATTTCAGTATAAAAATAATACATAGGTATGTGTTTTATCTGAGCAAACTTAATTTAAAAATGTTGACAAATCCCTCACGTTATAACGTCGATATGATTTTTCATATAATTTCATAAGCTTCATATTTGTACAAGAAATTGCGTATCAATGTCAGTTTTTTGCCACCATTTAAAAGGTCCGCAAATATTGATTGACGGCGATGTATTTTCTATTGGAAAATGTTTTTTACATCTACCGAATAATTTCCCGATATAGATTTGGTGTGTGCTTTATTACTTGTAAATATCGGATTAAGAATACAGTAAATGAAGTTTCATTTTCCTAGACTTTTTAATTTACCTTTTTATTATAATTTATAAACGCCATAGTCCAGGCTGTGCAAATATGTATATTAAGCGTTATTCAGAACTCGTACGAGTATATAGAATTATTTAGGGATTCCATTGGGCATTATTCATATTTTTTCATTTACATATCCCGCAAAATTGTATTTGAGGGCAGCACGATATGTTTGATTCGGTTAATCCTGTTATCGCTCGTTTGATTCCAGCAGGATGTTATTTTCCACAATCCTGTGACTATTGTCCAAACGAGAGGACGATAAAATGGCATTTTTATTTTCCCGAATAGCTTGTTATGAAATTTGATTACCATACGGTTTTGCCAAATTCGAAGACATTAAAAATTACCAATTCACATATGGAAATACAAATCGAATGTTATATCAAAATTTATAGCGTCGAAGATGGAATCTGAACTTTTTTAATAGCCGTTGAAAGCAAAGATTATATTTATTAATTATTCGTTATAAAGAATGCTAAAAAATTGTAACACAAAGAATTTGTTTTCAGAAAGTTCCTATGAACATAACTTCTAAAATATATTACAAGGGAGTTACAGCGTTCTAAAGAATAAATCAAAAAGTTTGTTTTAATTTAGTGTACCACCGTGGGTAATAGTGTGGGATATTGATACTAGTCGACGTTTGATCACCTCAGTAACTGAGATTTTCCAGCTTTCTCTCATTCTTAAATTGAATAGTGGTTAGAGTTTATCAATGTTTCCTACTGAATACCAACAACCGCCCCAATAACTGTCTTCGATTTCTAGTCTAATCACTTGAGAACGATTTCTTTTATCACTAACACATTGTTTTAATAACATCATTAAATTCCTAAGCTGCATTTGTTAAGGTGCGTTAATAATAACACAGCCACACAAAAAAAATCGACTTTAGGGCCCAGTAGATCAGACCGTGTTTATTATACGTTTTTTGGGTAGCTGAATCCGAATCCGAGATCCATTTAACCCCATCAGCTCGGGATTTTTCATAACTTAAAAAAAAACGATATTCTGAACAATTAAACCATAATAACCCTAAGACTCAAGCTTCCAACGCTAAATCCAATTAATCAAATCCCATAAACACTTAACTCAATGATATCCGAACCTAATAAGCCCATGCACCCAAACCCCATAACCAAGGGAATAAATCATAGGCAATCTGTATTATTGCAAAATATTACATAGCTCCTCAGCTATGTGAGTACTTGGGTTTTCAAAGAATTCTCAGCTATGTGATGTTTTGCAATAATACAGATTGCCTATGATTTATTCCCTTGGTTATGGGGTTATGGGGTTATGTGGTTATAGGATAATTGAGGTTTGAGTTCATGGGCTTATTAGGTTGAAATATCATTGGGTTAAATGTTTATGGGATTTGGTTGCTCGAGTCTTAAGGTTATACAGGGTGGTCCGAATTTTATGCAGGAAACTTCGAGGGCAGATAGATCTTTTTAAAATAATATTTGTTTGCCTTATAAACATAGGTCTGGAACGGCCTCGTTTTAGAGATACAGGGTGTTGAAGTTGTTAAAAAATATATATTCTTTGTTTATACCTCCGGAATCCATCGACCGATTTCAATCAAATTTAGTACAGATAATATATGATAGTGGGCCTTGTATTCCCTAAAATACGAGCTCTAAAGGTTCAACCAGTGGTGTACAACTGGACAGGGTCACCCCCTTTTTTATAAAATAAACCTACGCCACTGTATTTTTTACAAGCTATTGTAACGAATTTATATTCTAATGCACATAATACGTAAAAAAGGTAACTTGAATTTTTTCCCTAAGGTTCACGGTTCTCAAGTTATTCATACCAATACAATCCCCTTGTGGCGGACACTTCTAACGATAATATTACAAGAATATTTATGTTTATGCTTAAAAGTAAGTGCAATTTGTAAGCACATCAACAAAATTCTTTACACTCATCGCTTTCATCTTTTTGGATTAAAACAATATTTGGAAAATCACGACAAAGGAATGAAAGGCACAGAAATGAAATTTTAAAAGCATTTGACGACGATCCTCGGCTAAGTACACGAAGAACGTCTCGGCAACTTGGGGTGAGTAAATCGAAAATTTGAAAAGTTCTACGTAAGGATGGCAGAAATCCGTACCATTTACAACCTGTGCAAAATTTACTTCCGGGAGATGCAGAGAGACGCCTGAATTTTTATCAGTGGTTGTTTGAATTCTTACTAGAAATACTTTGGACCGATGAGGCTACGTTCACAAGGCGAGGGGTAGTGAATTTTCACAATCTGGATATTTGGTCACAAGAAAATCCTCATGAAATTCGGAGTCATTTCTAAACTTTCTAGAAAACCATCTATTTGAATTATTAGAGGATGTTCCATTAAATATACGACAAAATAGCTGGATACAAATGGATGGTGCTCCTGCGCATTTTAGGAGAATAATACAAGAATGGCTTAATGAAAATTATATGAGATGATGGATAGGTAGAAGACCAAATGCCAATGTCAACCATAATGGTGCAGAGGGTCCAGTGTCTTGGCCAGCCAGATCGCCAGATCTAAACTACCTGGACCTCTATGTTTGGGATGACCTACCTGAAAAGTTTACTCTACTCCAATAGATACTAGACCACAACTACTGCAGCGAATAGAAAACCACCATATGATATTAGCTTGAATTAGTTGCATTAATAGAAGATGTCAGAAATGTATCGATATGGGTGGTTCGCATTTTAAACAATTGCTGTAAATACGTAACGTTAATTTTGTTTCTTGTTTAGTTGTTGTTGCTTGGTAAATGTATTTTTATTATTATTTTGATTTAAATTGTTCTTATTTGTAAAGATAATACCTCCAGGGAAAACTAAAACACCAGGAACACTACTTCCCAAGTGATGTGGAAAGAATTTTGTTAATGTGCTTATAAATTGCACTTACTTTTAAGCATAAACATAAATATTTTTGTAATATTATGATCTGAAGTGTCTGCCACAAGGGCAGGGGTATTTGTATCAATAACTTGAAAATGGTGAACCTTAGGGAAAAAATTCAAGTCACCTTTTTTACGTATTTAGTGCATTAGAATTTAAATCCATTACAATAACTTGTAAAAAATACAGTGGCGTAGGTTTTTTTTATAAAAAGGGGGTGACCCCTGTTCAGTTGTACACCACTGGCTAAACCTTTAGAGCTCATATTTTAGGGAATGCAAGGCCTACTATCGTGCATTATTTGTACCAAATTTTATTGAGATCGGTTAATAGATTCCTGAGATATAAACAAAAAATAATATTTTTTTAACAACTTCAACACCCTGTATCTCTAAAACGAGGCCGTTCCAGACCTATGTATATAAGGCAAACTCCTATTATTTTAAATAGATCTATATGTCCTCGAAGTTTCCTGCATAAAATTCGGACCACCCTGTATAGTAATTGTTCAGAATAGTTTTTTTTTGAGGTTATGAAAAATCCTGAGCTGATGGGGTTAAATGGATCTCGTTCTCGGATTCAGCGACCTAAAAAAACGTAAAATAAACATGGTCTGACTTCTGGGCTCGAAAGTCGATTTTTTTGTGAGGCTGTGTAATTTTTACCCAAATATCTGAGAAACGATTTTAATTAGTAATTTGAAACAAAAATGCCTTTTATATATAAAAAAGAAGTAATTTTGGTGTGCAATATACCCTAGGGTGTCCCGTTCGTGTTTCAAAAAAATTTGTGTGCAAGTTCCTCATGGGAAAATAATAGGGGTAGGTCATGTAAAGTTTTTTTCTTAGACACCCTGTTTTCGAGATACAGTGTGTTGAAGTTGTTACTTTCCAAGTGGTTTTCTTTACTTATCTTTAAATCGGCCAAAGATAAAAATGTCAAAATTTGTACACGAGTAAACATCAACTGTGCGTTAAGAATAATGTGCAAACGGTTTCTTATTGAAAAGCAGTGTCGCCGGTACAGATAATTGGAGGGGTACAATCGAAAAAAAATATATTAAAAGTAAAAATTTATTACATTTTTAAATGGTTCTGTAATAGTATATTACGTAATAAGTGTTGTAAAAAGCATTTTACGCACGAATGGAAAAGTTACGCACGACGCCGCGTAGCGGCGAGTGCGTAATTCTATGAGTGCGTAATTGCATTACACCACGTATTACGTACTATACTTTACCTACGACCACTACTTTAAATACTTAAAAACACACCGTCTGCGATCAATGCAAGATTCCTATTACGTCGTACGGTAAAAAAATCGCACAGCTTGGTAAAAAAATCGTACAGTTTTCCTAGCAACCGCCTAGCAACGGTCAATACAAACAGTATTGTATTGACCGTTGCTAGGCGGTTGCTAGGAAAACTGTGCGATTTTTTACCGTACGTAATAGGAATCTTACATTGATCGCTGACGGTGTGTTTTTAAGTATTTACAGTGGTGGTCGTAGGTAAACTCTAAAATATACTACAAACAAAGGTATACTTGTCGAAATTAGGTAGCATGTACCATTTTCGAGAAAAATGAAGTTGTATAGAAGGAAATGGGGGACAATGTCAGTATCTGCTGTAGTATATCGTGTTTACACATTAATTTAATTAATTACCATAATCTGTTTATTTTGATTTACTTTTTTAAATGTTAGTTTACAACAAACTGAAACTTAAAATGCAAATACTGTTGGTAACTAAATGTCTTCAGCTCATTCAATGGTAAGGCCCTCTTTCAATTTAATATTTTCTTGATGTACTTATGCCGCCTTATGTGAGCAAAAAAAATGCAGCTTCATTTTTCTCGAAAATGGTACATGCTACCGAATTTCGACAAGAATACCTTTTTTTTGTAGTATCCTTTAGAGTTTACAGAACCTTTTAGAAATGTAATAAATTTTGAGTTTTAACATATATTTTCTTCGACTTTTCTTGTACCCTTTCAATTACCTGTATCGGCGACACTGTTTTTCAGAAAAAGAAACCGTTTGCATATTATTCTTAATTGCACAGTTGATGTTAACTCGTGTATAAATTTTGACATTTTTATCTTTAGTCGACTTAAAGATAATTAAGGAAAACCATTTGGAAAATAACAACTTCAACACACTGTATCTCGAAAACAGGGCGTCTAAGAAAAAATTTTTACATGAACTACCCCTATTATTTTCCCATGAGAAACTTGCACACAATTTTTTTTGAAACATGAACGGGACACCCTGTATATGAATAAAATAGCATTCGACGTAAACAAATCAAGTCAACTCAAAAATTTTGTCACACCACTGAGAAAAAAATATTTATAATATTCGCAATACAAACTATATCTTGAATGAAAACCTCTACACTGTTTTGGCAGAAATTGCAATTTGTAGAGATGGTATGTTTGGATTAATTTAAAATTGTACTGAGCATCAGACAACGGCATGTCAAAAATGAAGGAACTTTCTTTCGTCCAAATTAAAGAATTTTTTCTTATTAGAATATTGGCCCTTACGTCCTGGTTAATGAATATCGTCAGATTCATAAGAATAGAGGAATCCTTAAGGGGTGTAATTTTTTGTCCAGCATTTTAGAAAATCTAAGCCAGTTAGAAACATTATCTCTTCACTGTACCAGTTACATAGGTTTTCTTTAAGGTATAAGACAACTGACAATACATTCAAGATAAGCACATTTTTACCTCGTATGTTTATCTTACGTTTCCTGAATTGTGTACGCCTGTTGAACATATAGAGAATCGCGTAAGGTACTATAGGCACAATCACACCCCGCAAAATACTTTTAGGAAACTATTAACACATGCATTAATCACAATTATTGAGTATCTTTACAAATTTCCTGCACAAAATTTAAACTTTAAGATCCTGAATGTTAACAACAATGGGGTTTTAAAAACAAGCGGTGTCATTATTTTTACTCACTCTATGAATTTTTGAATTTTCATAGTACACCCTGTATATCGTAATATATTTTTCTCCTATTCTGACGAATATTATCAGCATACGAAATTTTTAACACCACATTTTGACACCACGTAATTGTTAAAAAGTAGCGGAAAGATACATACCGCGTATTTTTTTATGATACTCAAAGCTGTCATATCCGCTGTTATGGCCGACATGTGAAAGTTGAGAGGCAGAGGCTCGCTGGTGAGATTTCTGGTAACGGAGATTGAAAGCGGAGCTGTCATCTCGTGGTTCTCCTCGTTGTTCTTCTCCATCACTGCTTTCTTAACTCTATCCAATCTCCAACAGATCACCACCAAAGCGACCGCGCTGCCCAAGAAAAGCGTGCCACCTGCTATACCCAGGACGCAGATTGTGCCGCATTTCGCCATGTCTACGCCTGTGAACAACGTTTTATGTTAGGGACACTTACTTTAGTTATATATTCAAGGTTTATTGGACGATTTTTCAGAATTTCTATTTACCTAAGAATTTTCCCGAGGTATAGTTACCCGTCAGACTGCTGACATTCGGCTGGACTTGTGGTGGAGCTACAGTGGACGTAGTTCTGACATTTTTCTGTTTCTTGCCTTTGCCGAGGGTGGTAGAAGAGGTGCATTGACCCATTTGGCTGCAGGTCACCACTCCGCTAGATTCGTCGACACCCCGTCCTGTTTTTGCGTTTCTCTTCGCAGGAAATGACACTTCCACTGGAACATAGAAAACTTTGCAACAAATTTTTCTTATGATCAACTATCAAAAAATCATACTCAGTTTTCTCTATACAGCGTGATTCAAAACTTATCCAAAAATATGTGCCATTATCAATAGAATCAATTTCAACGAAAAAAGTTAATGACACATTTAGAGATTTCTAAGAAAAAAAAATAGAACCTTTTCGAATTTAAAAGCACTACATAGCTGGACGATTGTAGTGCGTTTATTTAAATGTACCTTAAGTTTACCCCTCCAGGTATAGCTTGAGCCGATCTGATTGACAAATACCGGATAAACGTGTCAATTGCCTTGAAACAAGACAATTTTCGATCGAGTGGAAATGATGAAGGTCTCAACGTCTACATCGTATTGTAGCAGCTTAGGAATACATTTTAAACACTTCTGTGGAAGAAAATCCTCGAGTAGGTACTTACAAGGCAAATCGTTCCATAAGTATCTGGAGCCTTCCAATCAACAGGGTAGCGCATATTATATGAGGCTTAAATGTATCTCTACTATGAACGGCGTGTGTCGAAGCATTAATAAAAGCGGATTATCCGTCATTACATTTTGTTGCAACAAAATGCTCAAAATGCTTACTTTACCCTTGATGTGTTAATTACAAATGATAATCTTTCCAGTACATAATAACTGGGAACCTAAAATCCCGCATTTGGCATATTGAAATCATCCAGCACGTTTTTTTTTAAATGTTTGGACAGGGATTGTCGACGATCGATTAATTGACTGTTTATATTGCCAGATCGAATGGTTTTTAGTATCTCTAATTTTTTCGAAATGGTTTACCTGGACTACTTAAAGATGTGCCTTTACCTGTTACAACAAATATGGTTCTAGCGCGATAGTGCCTCTCATCATTTTCGACAAAATATTCGATATTACTCTAATGAATTTCAAGAAGTACGGTGGTCTGAACTAAGAGAACAGATGGCATGACCACCGTGCACTCCTGACTTAAAACTTCTCGACTTTTGCTACGGAGACGTTTAAGCAATTAAGTGTATCTTAACTAATCAACATTTACTGATTATATTTAACAATAGAGGAGTTAAAAGCGTAAATCATGAATCGAATTCGCTAAAATAAAATCACTGTAATAAAATACGTTTTATTTATTATCTCATTAAATTGTTTTCAATTTTGTATGTTGATATGAATGTACTCAGCTGACCAAGATTTAGTGGTGTGTAAATAAATATTTTTAAATAATTTTCGAAATCTTCCTTTTGATTTACTTTTACACTGTGGTATTTGTATTGCTCTATTATATGTCCCATAATCTATTTTTAGGTAAGTTATGAATCACCCCGTGTACAGCGCTTTCTACCATTACCGCCCATAATTTACAGGGTGATTAAAAATTCAGTACAAAAAATTTAGTGGCGTATTTTTGAGGTCAAAATAAGATTGTTTTTTTCTATAAACGTGTCCACAAATGCTTAGTTTTCTGTGGACAGGGTTTCAAAGTTTTTTAATTATTCGATTTTTTAAGAATAATTTCCAACCAGATTTGAATGTACGCATAAAACTTGGGGGTGCGGTTTTTTTTAGGATAGTAAATTTAAATATGTTATTGCTTTTGACGCTACTTGTAGAGGGCGCCACCTATAAGGGTACGCTTGAATTAAATTGGCCCTAACTTTTTTGCCACCCTGTACATTGATATTTCGTATTAGTGCGTTTATTCCCCTTTTATATTTTAAGCAAAAATGGTATACTTGATCGAAATCTCTCAGACCAAACGTTTCCGAGATATTGGCAGATGAAGAGTTAAATGCATACCACATTTTCATATTTCATTCAATTTTATAACTATTTACGATGAAAAATTTTAGAATTTATTTTTGATTCGCGTTTATAGGAAAAAGAGTCTTATTTTGACCTCAAAAATACACCTCTAAATTCATTGTACTGAATTTTGAACCAGCCTGTATAGCGCTTCGCATGTGACGTCAGGTGAGTGGTTGTGGATTCGAAGAAGTAACTGGTGTAACTACACGAAACTATTGTGTATTTACATAACATACATATAAAATTCATATATATGCATTTGCATTTATGCAAGCAAATATATTGCAGGTTTATTTATCAACAAAAACATTGTACCACTGAATACGTTTTTTAGATTCAAATTAGAAATATTCGTTTTAAAAGGTTTCGTGTTTAAAAAAGAGTTGCCAGTAGAGAACTGAAATATATATCACCGCGTTATTATTCTTCATAAAAATATGAGGTCTGAAAACAAAATATAAAAATTAAACTACAGCTTTGTAACGATATTTGCAATACAAGTCTTATACGAAAAAGTTCTATTTTTGCGTTTCTTTTTTTCGTAAATTAAAGTTCAATTATGGACCAAAATATTCTCTCTGGAACGGTCCTGTCCGTGTGATGTACGATAAGTTACGTGCTGTAGACAAGCAACGTAAACAAATCCTCAATTTTTGGGAAATTTTTCAATGCAAAAGTACAAACTAAGAAAAATAGATATTTAAAAAAAAACTGATATTTTCTTTTTATAATAATTAATAGTAATTACTATCTTAAATGCATTGTTGTTACTGTAAGAGTTCACAAACAAAACCAAATCCGTAACCATATGTAGTTGCCAACTGCGTGCACTAAACAAACTCCATTAAAATATGGAACAAAATGAAATAAAACTTAATATTTCTAGAGAAAATGTTGAAATTGATCCCCATTAGCGCGGGTACAGGCATGGCATCGACGCACCCAATTTTGGCGAATATTTTCCCAAATTCCAAGTATTCCTCTAATTGTGGGAGCAACTTCAAGTATACGGTTTCGCAATTCTTCCACCGTACCAATTGGAATATTGTAAACCGATGACTTCAAGTAACTCCAAAGATAAAAGTCCATTGGAGTTAGATCGGGTGACCGAGGTGGCCATGGTACAGAACCAAAGCGTCCAATCTATCGCTGAGGAAACATTTCATTCAAAAGTATCGTTACTTCTCGAGTACTGTGTGGAGGAGCCCCATCTTGAAGATAAAACATGCGCGCCCGAACTGGTAATGCCACATCGTCATAATTCAGGCAACCGGTTCTCCAAAAAGTCACCAAATGTTGGTCCATTTAGTCGTCCTTCAAAGAAATAGGGACCCACATCGCCTATTATGCCAGCCCAAACATTTACCGAGAACCGATGTTGAAAACGAGTTTCCCTAATCGCGTGAGGATCTTCATCGGCCGATATGTGCATATTATGGAAATTCACTTCATCACGGGTAAATGTCGCCTCATCTGTTACACAAACATAAGCAGGAAACTCTACTCTTTTGGCACATTGCCGTAAAAACCATCTGCAAAAACGCATTCGTTGATCACAATCCGGGGGTAAAATCTGTTGAACTGTCATGTCAGGTAAGTGTTTAAAACTGTATCCTAGAATCTTTTTAGAACATTCTTCAATGCAAATAATGAAAACATGAACCATTTTCCATCCATTTTTATTGTCTTTCCTAAAGGCATACACAACAGGTGGATAGCACAAAGTTTTTTCTATCAAAGTACAGTTATAGAATTGCCTGACCCAATTATTACATTATTAATCCAAGATCCACCCTGTCCCTAATATCAAATTTACAAAATCACGTTTTACCATCGAATTGTGCCTGTAATAATTACCGAAGTTTTGATTAAACCACTAGTACTGACGTCACTAAGCGATGACACGTCAGATGTGAGGCTTTATGTTATGTGTTAGATGAAAAGCGTTTCCACAATTAGACCTGAAATATTCACTAAAATATCTTACTTGTGCAATCCTGCGGACATATCAAGCTGTACAACTTCTCCAAAGAGTCGCAGATACCGTCAGGACACGTCTTGGTGTCTGGGGTACATGTGGAGTACAAATGGGTTACGTTAGAGGGGGTTTTGTCACCACGCCACATACATCGTTCCGGTTTTTGCCTGCAACATTGTAAAAAAGGCAGGAGTTATTAGAACTTCCAAGAGTTTATTGCTTAAGTCAGTATTTTAGTAAGTAGATAATATTAATTCAATTCAATTGAATTTATAAAAATCGAAATATATGGAAACGAAATTTATTTTTAAATGCGTTCTGTTTTAAGATTTTATATTGTTTAAGTTATTTTATACCTTATGTGACGCCCGATTTTCAACATTTTCTGTGACACTTACTGTATGATTTCTAGTTACTGAATTAAGCCAGCGCTTTTACTGAATTACAGTTTTTTAAGGCATCTAGATAATAAATAAACCAGTAACCAGCATCACAATAAATTTCACCGCGGTTTTGAACGTGTTCGTTGAAACCATTACTATCCTCGTCACGTTTTCAATCCTCAGGTACTATAACATTATAGGTACGCGTTAAAATAACGGCACAATTAGTGGTAAATGTTTGATTTTTATTATCATCTCGCCGGGTAAACACAATTACCCAGGTATCGGCGTTTAAACTTCCCTGCGAGAGCGACACTAATTTCTTTTTTAATATCACCATCAACCGAGAAAGAATTAATTGAATCACACGATTGACTTTTCCGCTGTTATCATATATGACAAGGGGATTTGCCAACGCTTTATCTGCGGCATTGTTCGTGGATTATGCTCAGGCTAAATGAAAAAATAATTTAACTTGACATGTACAGGGAGTGGTCATTAGGTTCGTTCTGTTAATAAAGGGGATTATTATTCAGTTAATTCGAAAAAAGTTTCTATAGATATCCTAGTTTAGAGTGTTAAATTTTAGAAAAAAGACTGTTTATTGAAAATAGTAGTAGTTCCTAGAAAATTTCATTTGTGATCTATAAAAAAATAATTTTCCTTATTGCCATAGGCGGAGGTAAGAGTTTCACTGTATTTGTTGAGAAAAAATGGTAGACTACTGGTTTTATCAAGCTTTAAAGGCAATTTTTGAATAAATTAAAAGAAAGTTATGGATTCAAATGAATGATGAATGAATGATGAAGAAGGCTAGTGAATAATAATTATTTTGACATTTTGAGCCAAATTTAATAGTTATTTATGGTATTAGTGTGTTACGGTATATATAAGTCGCGCTGGGAAATGTTTAACTGATTTTCTCAAGTAAGTTAATGACGTAACACACCAGTGCCATACAAAATTTTATCCAACACTCATAGAATTTCGTTTTAATAATAAATAAAAGTAATTTAAAATTTCAAGTTGTTAATGTCAGATAAAGTAATTTAACGAAAATTGTGTCTGTACCCAAGGGTTGTCAGTAAACAAACATTATTTTTTGTTGAAATCACGTTGAAATCCAAGACTGAAAAAATGGAAAATGTGGAATGTCCATCTCAAATTTTAGAAAAAGCTAATGCAGGCATCATTCTGGAGAAATCAAAATCTATATACAACAAAGAACTGAAGGAATTTCAAGATTGGAAAATCAAAGATGGGGTGAAAGGCGTAAATGAATCTGTCTTGCTGGCTTATTTTTTCAATTTAAGTGAAAAATAAGCACCATCTACAGTGTGGACTAAATATTCCATGTTGAAGTCAACTTTGAGAGTTTACAAGAACATTGAAATTTCTAAATTCAGAAGACTAGTGGCATTTCTAAGCACAAACATTTTCAACCAAAAAAATCCAATGAAATAGGACAAATCGAACAATTTTTGCGTGAAGCCCTAGAGGAAGATCATCTTATGAATAAGGTAGGTTCTACCGAATAGTTTAAATTTGTTGTTTTTAGGTGGCGTTGATATTAGGAGTTTTTGGCGCTTGTCGTTACGAGGAATTGACCCATCTAAGCATAGACAATATAGAGGACAAAGGACAGTATATCCACATCATGATTCCAAATACTAAAACGAATAAACCAAGAAGCGTCACTGTGTTAAATGAAGGATTTTGTGTTAATCTAATTGAATTAATTAGAAAATATTCTAAGCTAAGGTCTCAAAATGTGTAAAATAAAATGTTATTTTGTAATTTTCAAAAGGAAAAATGCACACGTCAATGTGCTGGTATTAATAAGCTATCAAAAATCCCTAATGTTGTTGCGCGATTTTTGGGCTTGACAGATTCTAATTTATATACAGGGCATGGCTTGGCCAATGCTGGAGGGGATATTACAACACTCAAACGCCACGGTGGATGGAAGTCATCTACCGTAACAGAAGGTTATATAGAAGAGCCAATTTCCAGCAAAATTGATATTGCTAAAAAGATGCAAGGGGTGCAGACTCCTGAAGCAAGCATAAGCAAAGGGGCATCCTGTTCTATAAATTTACCACAATCATAAAATGATTCCAATAATCCTTTAGCATCAAATTACAGCTTTACCATAAATGTCAATGTTAATATTAATAAGTAGGTAGATTGTAAGGTTGTGGCATTTTAGTTTATTTGTTGACTTATTGTTTCAAAATGGTTTTCTAATAAAAACTAGAAAAATAAACCAAACATTTGTCTTTTTATGATTTCTATAAGTCACTAGAGGGTTTACGTCATAACTTACTAATGACTTGTGACTTACAACTCACTAGTGACTTATAGGCCAGATTATTCCTTTAAAACTAAAGAAATTATAGTATCATCATATACAAGTGTTGGATAATAGTTATTTATGGTACAAGTGTGTTACGGTATATATAAGTCACGCTGGGAAATATTTAGCTAATTTTCCCAAGTGACTTATATGAGTGCCATACAACACTTTCATAGAATTTCGTTTTAATAACAAATAAAAGTAACTTAAAATTTCAAGTTGTCAATGTCAGAAAACGTAATGAATGTATTTTTAAATATTACAAAGGATGCGAGTGTCAACCTAAATTGTGTCTGTAACCAAGGGTTTCATAACTAACTAATGACTTATGACTTATAACTCACTAGTGAGTTATAGGCCACATTATTCCTTTAAAACCAAAGAAATTATAGTATCGTATCGTGATATACAAGTGTTAGATAAATACATTAAAATTTAGAAAGTGTCTACCATTAATAATAACATAAAACTTCTACTCTTGTTCTTGTGTTACGAATAGTTCCTGTACATTGTCAAAAGAAATAATCAAGGGTCAATCATCTAGCGCAGACCTTCTTAAATTATGATCGTGACTTTGTGGTGTCCTTGGTAGAGCACACTCCACACTCGTCTTGCATCACATGACGTTACTGCAAATCTGTCCTTAGCAGGTTGCCATAACGAGGTAGCGCACATAGCATCGTACTGTACTTTGTTATGAATAGCCGTATTTTTACGGTAGATACAAAGTTGTACTACTCTGAGAGAAATATGACTTTAATTGCCGCTACTAAAGTCTTTTTAATATTTCCTTAGAAAACATTAAGAAAAGCATACAAGATGGGAAGACATATATTTGAAAGTCAATTAATTCTTCACACATGAAGTTTTATAGTGGAAAAATTGCTGTGATGCTGGGGCAATCTACTGGCGAGAATGTCGGATTTGTAGTAAAAGATAACATAAAGCTGGGGGCAGCAAAGATATCGCTTTTCCTCACTACATGATCCATCGGAAAGCACACGTATCCAAAAAATATCACCAGAGATAGATGTGGTGCTTCACGATATTATTAAAATCATTGACTTCATTAAAGCCGTGCCTTTAGTAATTCTTTATTTTCAAATCATTGTAGAGACGTGGATTCCGATTATAAAAACTTACCATTGCATATGGAGGTAATGTGGCGCCCAAGAGGACGAAATTTAAACAGATTTAGTAATTTTTTTTTTTCATAATGAGTTATGACTTTCAAAAGTGTGTTATTCGTCGGATATTATTGAAAAACTCAATGATTTAAACATGTAACTTCAAGGAAAAAATTACATATGACATGTTAAAGTTTTACTGAAAAAGTTGACATATGAAGGAATATAGTGGAAAACGGTTCTTTAGAAGTGTTTATAGCAACAGATGATATGATAATTGATAATAATATTCCCAAGGATTTAACTGCAAGAGTTATAATTACTGATTATCTGAAGTGCCTAGAAATATTGGTTCAGGAATACTTCCCTTCTAATTTTGAATCCAAAAAAAAAACAAAGATGTAAGTTGGGTTTGCCATGCAGGTTTAAAACTTGACTTTTGTATATAAACTTTGTTTTGAAATTTCAACAGAATTGTCAACAATTCTTGAAGGTACCTTGAACATACTTTTACCATTTCATGTTTTATATGATTCACATGATAATTCCTTGGGTGAAAACTAGAAAATTTGGTACCTGATCTAGCAGACCAAGAGGTGTGTAACTGAAATAAGGTGGTGCTTCGTCATTCACAAACCATAAACAGTACTGCAGTGGTACTACATTAAGAAGGGCCAGTTCCTCTTCAATAAAGTTAAGTATGCATTGTCATCTAATCTCTAATAATACTTATCTAAATATTTAGTGAAAGCTAATGTTAATAATTGACTTCCTTTGTCATAAACCTATTGATGACTGTTGTGAACGTTTTGTATCACGGGAGAAACTCTTGCCAGTAAAAAGAATGAGATTTACAACAAAGGACGTTCAGTTGTTTTGTAAAGTAGCCATTGACAGGACTTTACAATCGAGGAAAATCATCCGCAATGATGTGTTTGAAAAGGTAAAATTTATCAGTATAATACTGCGCTACTGTTAGCAACGCTGTAAAGAAAATGCATACAAGCCACTTCTGAATTCGTAAACTGAACTATTATAAATAGATTATCAATTTTTACTAGTTTAAGATATCAAAAAAATAATACCCTTAAGTTCAAAATGTATCTTGGAAACTAAGCCACATACGTTCATAAGAACCTTTCTTCATAGAATTAAATGAGGAACCACCCTCTTTATCATCGGATCCCACTTAAGTACCACTCTGCGTATTATTTTTTTGACAAAATTTTTTTAATGAAAAGTTTTGAACTAAAAAATTAGTAAAGGATAAGTGAAAAATTGACGGTCATTTCGTTTTATAAGTCTGTACGTAATTATCAGTCTGACGTTGTTCTCTTGCACTACACGTGTTTGTTGGCAAAAACTTTGTAAGGATTAGAGAGAAATATACGTGGGAAGACTTGCAGAAGCTCGAATCTTGCCAAGTTTCGCACTTTCCCCAAAGGCTTTGTGTATTCACTCATTTTGTAACTCCAAACAACGTGGTGTGCAGACGTTATTTCTAGAAACTGCTTAAACTCTACTTAACAAATATTAAGTTTACCAACAGAAAATATTTTCTTGTAACTTGATAGTTAGATGTTAAATACGATTATGTTAAAGGATTCCAAGTTCTAATAAATCAAAGAACTCAGCTATTTATTTTTCGTGGAAAGTGGCTTTAGAAGTAAATTCACTTTATCCTAACTTTATTAATAGCTTTTTTTATTTATCGTGATTTATTTCTTTAACGATTTGTGTTTGTAATTTTAAGTGCTTTGATAATCCATTTTTGGAAAAATCGGTTGGACATAGCATATGTCATTTTAGATGTTATATTTTTTAAAAAGAACAACTCACGTTTTTATATTTTGGAAATCTGTATTTTCATATAATAATTGTCTGTTTTTCTATATAAAAATATATTGACGCATATGTTGGTATTGTTCTTATTGAATTCAAATGTAAAAAATGTAAGGGAACTAATAATCAAATTACTTACTTGAACTAGTCAAGGAATTTTTTTAATTCCACGCCTGAAGAAATCTGTTAGTTTAGAAGTTCGCTTATGAAAGGTGATGTAGTCATTACAAGAGATTTCTGGAAGCTTATTCTATAGGCAGCGAAAGAGATGAAAATTTGGACGAACATCGGAAGAATAGGGCTGATGTGGAATAACCTCCCAACCGGGCTGCTGAATAGCATCTTTCATGATGATAGCAGTATATAGCATGATGTAAAATTTCTCGAAAATGAGTCTTTTTTATCCTTTTTCGGTGTCAAGGCTATTGACAATAAAACTCAGCAGTGATGGTTACATTCCTCGGAATCGATGGCTTCTTTGTCTCTCCAGATGTACAACGTTACTTTACGCGAATGGGTAGCAGATCTCTTTTGTTTTCGGCATTGACGTAGAGGCGTCATTCTTCATCACCAGTAACAACCTGAGTTAAAAGCTGTCGATGCTGTTGAAGAGCTAAACGATGACGATCCAGCAAAAAGGCGAACATGCGACCAATACACCCAATTTTTTAACTTTATCCATGTAATGTAAATGTTGTACTTTGGTCGGCCGGTCACAGTCTATCATACTGGCTAATACTCGCGTTGATTGACGTGGTCATCAAAAATCAGTGCTCAATCTTGTCGATCATATCAAACTAGCCCTTCTTGCAACGAGGTATTCTATTTTGTTTTGTACATATTGTCGTTTTCTTCATTAAAAGCAAATGACATCTTTTATTGATTTTTAGCTTATAATTACTCACGTTTATGACAGTAATGAATTAGATGTTAATTTTTGGAGTGTCTCAGAGTGTCTCAGGTACGGTTTAATCCCACATTGCGATCTCTTGTTGGGGGTGCGCAAAGAGGCAGAATGATGTGCGGGATTATTCTGGAGGGCATACGAAGAGTACCGGAAAACTTGCAAAGAGAGGAACAAATTTTGTAAACCCAATAACAAGTACTCGAGAAATTGCACGGCAAATTGAGTTGAACCAAAAAAAAGTTTGAACAACATTCCGGGAAAATCAGTTCCAATCCATCCCAACAGAATTCGGCTTTCGAGCATTCAAGACAGGCTTTCAGTACATGAGCTCTGGTCAATGGTATTCTTGTTAAACCTTTTATCCACCAGATTGTTTAATAAGCGAAAGTTATCTGTGATCCCCGTTCTTCTAGGAGATGTAGCGCTGAACGTTAAGGAGAACATGGGTGTTAGAGGATGGGAGGCCAGCCCTTTTTAGACGTTAGAGGTATCTTACACATTATTTTGTATAAGTGAGTAGATCATAGAGGATCAATTGCATGGATAGCCAGGGTACCAGATCTTAGCCCTTGTGCTTTTTTATAAGGTTACATGAAAAACTTAGTTTTGGAAACGTCAATTAGCACAAGAGAATCACTAATTGCCCTGTAGTACAGACTATCGATATAATGAGGGGAAGATCTTTATCCCCTCTAATACGTGCGTGTACAGTCTTCTGACTATGTGGCGTATGTATCTAGTTATATGTGGATCAGATTGGCGGCAATTTTGAGCTTTTCCCATAATATCATGGAGGAATTCGAATAAATTACGTTTTCAAAATTAATATAAGTTTTTGAAAGATGGTGTTTGCAAAAATGTGTATTTTAACCATCAGTTTTACAAAAATATGGCTCAATTTAGGGATCACCCGTATATCCAAATCTACAATTGCACCTTTGTCGTGTTATCTATTATTATGAAATTTAAATTAACTTGTATAAAATTAAACTGATGACAGTTTAATTCAACTACATTAAAAAATATTCTATATACAGGGTGTTTCACACTGTAACACTGTCATATTACATATTTTTTCTCAGACAGCCCTGTATTTGGGAAAGTAAATGAATATCTCGTCACAAAATGGATACAAATTAAAGATTTATAAAGGTGTTAGAGTTATAGAACAATTTTTTAATATGTTGTAAGTAATTTAAGCGTTGTACATTTGTCTTTATTAACAGGTTGCACATGCAGATTGGAATATTGCAATATGGATATCCATGTTGTCGAAATAAAATATAATTTACGTCTTACGTCTAATAACAACATATGCGATGTCCAGCTGTTTTTTCTAGAAATTAATTTTTAAGCTTTAAAAAGAACGTACACGACACGTGTAGATGACATTTTTGTTGTAAGGTTAAATATTAAATAATTTCGGGGTGATTATTTTTAGTGTGGAACTCTGTTCAATTTATGGTATAATACTCAGCAGTTTCTTACCTTGTGGCCACACTTGGTGCTCCTCCTGTAGATATAGCGCAAGAACTAGATTTTAAACACTTATTATACGTCTCGTATTCCGAACAAAATGTCCAGTCGGTGAAGTTTCTTATATCACCGCACGTCTTGTTGGGTTCGTCGATTATCCTGACCTGAATCTCATCGAACTCGATTTTGTTGTTTCTTGTCCAAGAAACGTTTAGCCTTTAACAAAAAAATGTATGTACAAAGTTATATAGAATTGGATTACTTTCACTCACCTTACGTATTCAGGAGAGTTTCTCAGTCCGAGGAAATGGTGTATGTAGATAATACCTTCGTCTTTGGTGATGTCAAAGATTTTCCCGTTAACGGTCCTATACGATAATGTGAAATTTGTCGAACCCCTCAGGTGAACTGGTTGGGTGACTCTTGCCAGTGGAGCGGCGGTTCTGTTTATAGAGACATTTTTTTTAAATCGGTAAAGATGTGTAGTACATATAGTAGCAATTAGTTAAAAGTTGTTTAATCGCCGTAAAGTTAAGACTGGAGTTCTTACAATTAAATATTATATAGAGCCTTCATAAATGATTACAAGCCACGTGACCAGTAATTCTGTTTGGAACAATAATTTTATTTCCTTCACGTTGACAACTAAATTTCGGTAAAATTAAAACAATAAAATCAATATTACATTAAAACGCAATATTCTGTTTCATAGATTGTGATTTCACGAGATTCCATTCAACCAATCAGCGATCGAATTATCTCGAATGTAAACCTAACTGTTTGTCATTGTTCATTGTAAACGAATCATCAATATTGGTGACCCCAAAATTTAGGGAATTTTTCTTACCAGTACCAATCGTGCTGATGTTGTGTTGCCTATCTATGCTTGACTGTCACATGGCTTATAAACTTTTATTAAGGCTATGTACCTTACTTAATACCTTAACTCGACTATTAAATTTTTACAGGGTGTTCTTTGACACAAACAATTCAACTGTATAACCTGTTGGCAATCATGTTTTTTAATACTTTCCAAACCAGTTAAGGTAGGTACATATTTTTGGTGATGACCCATGTCTATACAGAGTCATAAAATAATGAGTTTTGTAGCATCTAGTTTACAGCTATATTGGTAAAATAAGACGTGAAACATTGCTCGTCCCTTAGAAAAAGCTAGTCTTGACATTATAGCAGAAAATAATGATATCAATGGAAAAAATTTTGTTTGGCAAAGACACTCTGCATAAACAGGAAGAAAACAAAAGTTTTTTACATCAAATTATTTGAAAATCTAGATGGCCCACACACCTTTATTAAATTCTAATAAATAAGTTTAGATTTAGAAGACATAATAAAATATAAGTATATTGTAGCACAGAATCTTATTAACTTATTTTATTAGTAAATTATGGTAATATGGAACTGGTTTCCGTCATAGAGATTTCACATAAAAAATATAATGTATATTCTTCAATATTCTCAACTTCGTTCTCACTGAAAATGAGAAGTTGGAAACCGGTATTTGTCTGGTGGTTCGGCTGAGGCATGACCCTAGCCTTTTACTAGATATTGCTGCTAATAATTCAATGTACATTAGTTTAAAGTTATATTGTTTTCAAACACATTAAAAATAATAATAATTGTTATTTGGATACAAATACTGAATACATGTTTTGAAAAAGTATACTATGGATTTAATTAATGGCTGGTAGAACTTCAGAAAATAAAACAATTGTTTATTATGGACTATGGGCTTACTGTCTGTTATTTTTGAGATACAGGGCATCAAATAGGATGTTTTAAAGTAAAATTCTAACGGTGTATTTGTAAAAATGTAATGTTATGCTTTTAAATACACGCATAAATATTATTAGCCTTGTCCAGATCACTAGTACGATTCTCCTTAGTGGCATTTTAAAATACAACTCTTTTTAGGTTAAGTTTTGTTTGTGGCACATTATAATGTAAAATTTTACACAACAAAGGTACACTTGTTGAAACTGCTGAAAGTGAATCGGTTTCGAGATGAATGCATTTGACAAACTACGTATTTCTTGAGAACTCAAATAATAATTTTACATCAAATCTAATAAAAAGATTAATAAATGTTCTGACAATAAAGTCCTTCTTTACTTCAATAGAATGAAGGGATATAATTAACTGAGTTTTTCTTGGAAACAGTGCATTTCCAGCAATTTTAGATAGCGTATCCTTTTTGTGTAAAATTAAATTTTACATTGTAGTGTGCAACATACAATGCAGTAAATCTAACCTCAGGTAAGTTATCTTATAAAATGTCGCTGGAGAAAATTGTAACTAGTGACATCTCTCTGGTAAAATTAATAACTGACCTATTTGACGCCCTCAAAAATTTACTTGTACCAAATGTAATTCAACATTGTTTCTGAAAAAAGTTAAATTCGTTTAAAAAAATCTATTTTGACGCCATATACTCGTATGTCAAAAGCAAATGACGGTAAGTCGATGATTCGTCGGAAAAACATTTTTTTTTGTTATGTTCTACCTGAATTTATCACTATTTTTTTACGTTGTGTATATCAGGAGTATCGAGTTTCATATTTATAACCTTACTTAAATTACTTAAAAAACATATTTATTGTTAACATTACAATAAAAATTACCTAAATATTTTCACTTCAAATGCTGGATATAATATTAGCAGTGAAGTGTGTCTGGTCAATGCAGCTGGAGTGATGTTAAAAACAAGATGAACTGGAAGTTTAACCTAAAAAAAAAAATATTACAGTGGTTAAAAAAAGGGGCATTAATGAAAAAAATATTTGCCCGTACGCTGCCGAATGACTCCAACAGAAAACTTATGGCTTTATTAAATATTTTATACCTCTCTCTTAGCGAGTTCCATAAACAAAAGTGTAGAACTTTTATGAGTTTAGAGAAGTGTATACTAAAACTTTACCTATTAACATTCGGTATTAAAATTTTAGTTCTCTTTCTCTCTGCAAAGTATTTATCCTCTTAAAAGTACTTTTTTATGCAATACATTTCTGAAAACTTTCAGGACTCTTGCCTAGTATCGACATCGACAAGGATTTTGCCTTTTGTTAAAACGTCTCTCTTGATCCTTGTAGCTTGCATAATCCTGCGAGTATTTTGGGTAGTTTAATTATGTTCTCCAGGACGAAACGAGTCAGTTAATCGGAAAATTTCACAATGCGTTTCTCAAAAAGGATTAGTCAGTGTTCTTAACTTCAGGAACTCAACTAAAGTTTGGAACGGAGGGATCTGCTCTTAAAATTATGAGCCCGTTGTACAACTTGAGCCAAGAAAGGGTTCGTGTTATGAATTTATATTATATTTTATTTCTTAAAATTTAATATAGGCTATGAATATTTTAACAGACGGTCCTTTTTGGAGTCAAAATTTTAATATTTCACTTCAAAATTAATTTTTTAACTCACCGCACTGTTTTCTTTGGGATTTTTCATAGTGGTGTCATTGAGCTGCAAGATAAAACTGTAGTTGGCAATTCTGAATAGCTTATCCTTAGTGAAGATCAGACCTGTAAGGAATTAAGTGTCAAACTATGGAAAAAAATTCTATATTTATTTCATTAATTTGTGAATATATAAAATGTATTTCAGTATAATTCTTCAAAAAAATTTATTAATTTTAATAGAGTAAAATTTAATAAAATTGAAGCATCCTAGAAAATTCTTCTCTGGTTCATTTTGTGGCTATACATGTATAGTTTTTATAGCCTTTTTGAAAAATCTAGACGGCGAACCTCAAAATGGCCGTCAATATACAGAAGAATATTTTTCGATGATTTTTAACTCGAAAACTAAGGCTTCTACAAAAAAAAATTATACAACAAAGCCTTAAAGTACGAGATCTGTTCAAAAAATAACCGAACTTTTGAAATACGCGTTAATGGAGATATTTAGTGACATGCGGTTGGCAGCATTGCGTTGCGCATATCATCTATAAGCATGTGCTCTTGGATTGTTAATATCTCATTTAGTTTTTGTGATACTGTTATTTGAGTGTATCGTGTTTAAGTGTTACTGACAATTTTTGAAATGTGCGATTTACTGGAACAATGACGTAAAATCGCCGATTGACCATCAGAAAGATTACAGAAATGTTTAGCATCTTAATTGGCATGAAATTTTTTGACTGAAAATTTAAACATGCATTGAGTTGCAGCAAAATTTGTTCCTCGTTTGGTGACCTGGTATGTCAACGAGTTTTTCTTTTTAAAATCTAAAAAATTTAAAGAACAAACAATAAAAACTTGCAAATTTGTTTATAAAAATTATTTATGACAAAATACTGACGGTTTTTGTGTTTCATAACAGACAAATTTAATTTTTTTGTTCTTGAAAAATTCAAGACGGTTGACCTCAAAATCGTTGTTAATATGCAAACCTTTTTATAATTTTGACGATTTTCAATTAAAAAACTAAGGCTTCTAATGAGATAAGAGACTAAATACTTGTTTATAATTAATAAAAATGATACTGTAGATAAAAAGTGTATTCATGATACAATAAAAGCCAATGAGGCAATTTTAATTCGGAGAGGTCTTAATTAATTAGAATAAATATCTTAATTTTTCTTCTCTTTGAAGTGTTCTTAACATAGATAGTGAAACAAAACTCTTAAATCAGTGTTCCGAAATTCATGCAATAAAATTTGATCATAGATTCTTAAGTCAAATTTAGGGGACCCGTATTTTTTCTTTTTGCCAACTGGCCCCCTTTTTCGAAGTTACAGCCCCCTGAAGTCTGCCCCTAAGAAGTCTTTTTTATATCTCAAAACCATGCTGTACGAGAATCACTAAATATGGTACACAGGGATTTTATAACATGTGGTATCTCACAGTGCTATGCTTAAGACACTTTTTCGTGGGCCCCCTTGTCTTTGGAACCAAAAACATTTGGTCGAAAATTTGATTTCTTTTTAATTATTGGTTAGCTAGAAAGCCGTTGAGTTTAAAAACTTTTTTGTTTCTTGATATTTGTTTCCTAAAACGCAATGTTTTTAAGGAAAATGGAGAATCACGATATGCATTCGATCACATTTTGACATTTTTCTTGAAAACATTGCGTTTTACGAAAAAAGTATAAAGGGACAAAAAATTGCCAAATTTAATGGCTTTCTAGTGGACTGATAATTTTTAAGAAATTTAAATATGCGACCAAATTTTTTTGACTCCGAAAACAAGGAGGCCCACGAAAAATTGTCTTAAGGGTGTTCCCCGCCAAACAAAGTAGCACCGTCAGATTCCACATGTCATAAAACCCCTGTGTACCAAATTTAGAGATTCTCGTACAACAGGGTTCTGAGGTATATAAAAAAATATTATTCTTAGTGGCGGACTTCAGGGGGCTGTAACTCCGAAAGAGGGGGCCACTTGGCAAAATAAAAATACGGGTCCCCTAAAGAACGACCGAAAAAA